TTCTGTTGTCTTGTTCTATAACATGACTGTCGTAAAACCCGTAACCATCTATAACCTTTCTCCCCCACGTACTAGGCAACATCATAGCCTTTACTTCACATCCAAAGTTTTGCCACTGCATTGCTTTGTATGCATTTTGTTTGTTCTTTTATGCTTTTTTTAATTCTTACTCGAGGACAATCTTTCCAAGCTAACGAGACAACAAGTGAGACAAATTTTCGCGGTGTAGTTACGCCCTATCCTGCCCCGCCATTCATCGACTAACCATTACCATACTGGTGTATCATCGCCCAAGGCAGAATCACAGTGTAATCAACGCCCTAACTTGTGTGACACTTTACCTAATTGCCAGTTACCTTATAGCCAACCTCTGTCCACATGACTGACTTTTAACACGAAACTGTATCTCTTGAGGTTGTTTCCATTAGTATTATAAACGCATAGTTAAGCAACACGGTAATAGGCCCAAGATTGACCGAGGATTAACGCTTTGAATTAGTTTATTGGAGTTGAACAGGTGCAGAATTTGAGTGGAGGAAAATAACACTTAAACTATCGTGAAAATTATCCTGGCAATTACAAAAGGTTATCTTTGTAATAAGATTGAAAGGGAAGCAATCTACGGTTATGTCACTTCGATGCGTGTGACCCATTAGGAACTTGCCTTGACACTTTACTTCTTTCCAAGGGATAGTGTTGTAGGATGATTGCAAGCGGTTCCCTCCTGAAAATATAGCGTGCAGTCACGAAAGATGACGTTTTGTTTCCATAGCAATGGTTATAAATTGCCATCTAGGCGATTCAAGGGATGTTTGCTTTACTATAAATAAAATTGACATTGAGGTATAGATTGTACATTTGCGTGCTTTTGGTGGCACCTTTGGTGGGTTAATCACGATGCGCCCATGAAATGATTTAGTATCACACTTTTGCTTGCTTTGGCTTATGAATACCGTGTAGACACTAGATCCTTCTCTAGGTTGCAAGGGTTTTAATGCTGTCATGCAATAGGAAAGATAGTCCTGCTGTCATGTTATTCTCCGAACAGATAACATGTAGCGAACCGCTGTGATCCCCCTACGTACGTACCTTTTTCTTATGGCAAAAATTGGGCAATCTATAGCTAAGAAAATTACACAAAAAATTTACATTTTTACAAAGCTTTGAGCAAGCTTTTGGTCTTAATTATGAATCGTGATCAAACTCAGTTCTTGTTTAGAACATTTCAGGGCTGCATCAACAGGAAGCGTATAAAACATACCTCAAGGAATACTGCGGATCTGAGTAAACATGCACTCGATTAAAGGCACATAAAAGGTGCCATTCACGGCGGTGAAGATATTAAATTTAGAACAACTTTGATACTTGTAGAAAATTACCCCCTAGCAAGCCGCAAGACAGACATAAGTGGATGCAGAAGAAAATAAGCAAAACAAGTAGAAAACATGCTTTAAAACAGCACATCAGATTTATATCAACAACCATTATTGACACAAATGCTTATATATGTCTTTCAATACGTAAGAAAGATCAAAAATGTGCTGCGTGGTAGTGTTGTTGTTAATGCTCTATATTTTTACAATTATATGTGTGTTTATTTTTGTTACTTTTTATTAGTTCCATTTAAAAAAGGGTGACAGAATTTTATCAAAACGTGACTGTGTCTAAGTTCTGCTAATTTAAATCATTCAATTGGTTCTTAATTAAATATCTGTCACAGATAGCTTTGAAGCTCATGTCTTTTACAATTATTAATTGTGCAAAAAAAAAAAAAGAATGGAAAAACGTGTTTTCATTCAACTTCCAAGAATCCAAGAACTTGTCAAAAATCAGCGTTGAAATTTTGCGCAAACGTTTCTTTACAATGAAACACAAAAAATATATTCTTTCCACAGTTTATTGCGCTGTTGTCTTCCAAGCGTAAAGGATATCCTGTCGAGTCGAGAAAAGGAGTTTTGAAATTGCTACAAAACCGCGCGAATAATGCCTTTACATTACTTAACTAATTCTTTAAATTTCACAGTACTAACATTTATGTAGAATGTTCTATACAGCGCAAAGGAAATCCTCTACGCGGGACCAAGTTTAAGGATTTTTGGTAGAAAATAGAATAAAATTACCGTCTGATTTCCGGGCTTTCGTAATCCGTTTCCTATATTATCGTTCGAAGGGCAAGAGACACCATATATAACTACTATATGAGACGGTCAAGGTCATTTAACCGTAAGCATATTTTATACGACTACGCATTCCAATCCCCTGCCGTTTTTAACAGACAGCATATGGTCGTCTTTCCTGAGAGTAATCAATGTAAGCAGACGATCGTGGAAGGGTTTTAGGAGCCATCCACGACTGTAAATAGTCTTTTGTCTTATCTCATCCGGAGAAACGTCTGAGAATACATCGATCTGCCATCGGTTATTATCCGATAATAGGACAATGTCAACAACGAATTCGCGAATGAAATTCTTCCAACAATTAAATGTTACGTAAAAACAACAACAACAATAATAACAATAATAATAATAAAATAATAATAATAATAATAACAATAATGATAATAAAAATAAGGAATAAATAAAAGCTGCCATTGGTTAATGCTGTTACTTTTTCCCTTTAGGGAGAACAAAGGCCAGTCCTATGCTTTGGCGATGCAGGCTGCAGCAGGTTCCACCAACGTGCTTTTCCAACTGAGAAATATAACCGGCTGCCAAGCTCTTTATTCGTTCTCTTTTTTTTTCAGGGAGATTGCGACTATTATAGTCCTTGGCCTACCAATAGCGATAATTGGGTTTCAAAACGTTAGCATCTAACATGGCTGCCGTCACCTCATCTTGCAAAACCTCTATTGCTAAATTCGTTTGTTTCAACGCCTAGTCGATCTCTCGGTTTGCACACTGATGACAAAGCAACTTTCTTAAAATTGTCTTGAAGGCGGGGCTAACATGGTGAATACGAAAGAAATGCCGCAAATTACATTGAAAAAAGTGTGATTTATTTTGTATTGGCATGTGAGCCTGGCATCCACGATACTTTTAACAAGGGTCCATAGCTCAAGTCACAGCAACTTGCGCTATTGCAACAGTATCCACGTTGTTTTTGAAAATATTGTGGAAGGAGTATATATAGAGAGATAGAGGACGAGGAACGCTTGGTCAATAACAAGTATTTCACACCAACTCAAAAAGCTCAAAATAGAGCTTAATCCATTGGTGTAAAATTGATGAATAAAATGACCAGGTTCATTGAAATTATTTACAAGATAAATAAGCCCTGCCCTTTGGATTTCTTTGTGTTTTTTGAAACTGTTATTAATAAAATTTGCTATTTATTGATTTTCTCACCCTTGTTCACGATATTTGAAGCACTTTCCTATTCTTTTCCAAACTACATTTGCATGATATATTAGCCCTGACCTGCCCTCTTGTTTTCTTTGTGTTTTTTTTATGAAACGTTCAGTAATAAAACTTGCCATTTATTATTGATTTTGTCACTCTTGTTGCTTTTTGGGGAGGGGGGGTCAAATAATAATCATAACAATATCAGTTTATTTAATTACGTGTCGTGCAAGAGCGTTACTTTACCCTATTAAACCTATTATTTATTATCTTTCATTACTTTTTAAGGCTATAGGGGCTACTTTGGACTATAACCTATGGTTTAGGGGTATTTGGAGCACTTTTTCTATGCTTTTCAAAAAAACCCAAAATTTTTTTAGAAATATATATATAAAAAGGACGAGGAACGCCTGGTCCATATCGTGATTTTTACACCAGCTCAAAATGCTTTAATTTGAGCTTAATCCGTTGGTGTAAAAATGATGAAATTGACCAGGCGTTCCTCGAACTCATTTGCATGATATATAAAGTATGCCTCTGTCTTTTCCGTCTTTTTCATTACTTTACCCTATTAAACCTATTATTTATTATTTTTTATTACTTTTTAAGGCTATAGGGGCATTTGGAGCACTTTTTCTATGCTTTTCAAAAAAACCAAAAATTATTTTTAAAATGTTTATATAAAAAGGACGAGGAACGCCTGGTCAATATCGTGATTTTTACACCAGCTCAAAATGCTTTAATTTGAGCTTAATCCGTTGGTGTAAAAATGATGAAATTGACCAGGCGTTCCTCGAACTCATTTGCATGATATATAAAGTATGCCTCTGTCTTTTCCGTCTTTTTCATTACTCTACCCTATTAAACCTATTATTTATTATTTTTTATTACTTTTTAAGGCTATAGGGGCTACTTTGGACTATAACCCATGGTTTGGGGGTATTTGGAGCACTTTTTCTATGCTTTTCAAAAAAAAAATTTTGTTTTAAATGTTTATATAAAAAGGACGAGGAACGCCTGGTCGATATCGTGAATTTTACACCAGCTCAAAATGCTTTAATTTGAGATTAATCCGTTGGTGTAAAGATGATGAAATTGACTAGGCGTTCCTCGAACTCATTTGCATGATATATAAAACATGCCTCTGTCTTTTACGTCTTTTTCATTACTTTACCCCATTAAAACTATTATTTATTATTTTTCATCACTTTTTAAGGCTATATAACCCATGGTTGGGGGGTATTTGGAGCACTTTTTCTATGCTTTTCAAAAAAACCAAAAATTATTTTTAAAATGTTTATATAAAAAGGACGAGGAACGCCTGGTCAATGTCGTGACTTTTACAACAGCTCAAAATKCTTTAATTTGAGCTTAATCCGTTGGTGTAAAATGATGAAATTGACCAGGCGTTCCTCGTACTCATTTGCATGATGCATAAGCCAGGACTTTCATTGTTTTCTTTTTGTGTGGAAAACTTGTTATTTTTTAAATTCCTTTTACTTTTGGTGGTTTACATTGTCCTTTTAGAGCAGTTACCGAGTGGTTTTATTCAAAAATATCCTCCAAGGGGCTTATATAATATACGAAGGGAACTGATTTTAAAATAATATTTTCCATGGACTATAGTATTTTATCTTAATATAAAGAAAATGTTTCATTCAGTTATAAATAATAAGATAATTTATTCAACCATTCATGATCATTCCTTCATGTTTTTACATTTTCCCTACTTTATGCACAAACGCCTTAGCGAGTTAAAATACTTATGTACAAATATACTCTTTCACTAGAGCTATTTCTTACAGCTAACTATTTTTGTAACTATATATATAATCTTCTAGGCACTTGAACATGCCACAATGCAGTTGGAGGGTTGTCTAGTCTGCAACGAAGGCTTACATTCTTGGTGTATATGACGTCATGACAGTGCCATGCTAGATTTGATGAACTTGGAATATATATAGTAGAAGACTGCTTATTTTCTTCGTTACATGTACAAGAAGACAGGGAGAATGCGAATACAATGTACAGCCCTGTCATGATCAATTGTACCACATGTAGCCTGCACTTGTTAACTTAACACACCTGTGATTTGTATCAGTCACAGGGTACTTAGGAAAGACTCTTATTCACAAATCATTCATTATTTTATCCACTGCTTCCCAGTCAATGTTACTCATTATGCTACCGCTGCTCTCGGACACGTCGTCCCCGATAGCTTGTTTTGCTTCGGCCTGTGGTTCAAAAAGAAAAAAATAATAATCGAATGTTAACGCGTATGGATTGTCACATTTCAAATTCTTGGCATTGTGCTGCATGCTATTGCATTGGTTACAGGTATGACTATGAGGTGTAAGATGTAAGGTAAGAATTGTGTAGTGTAAGGTATGAGGCGTAAGGTAAGAGGTGGAAGGTGGAAGGTAAGAGGTTTGAGGAAAGAAGTGTGTAGTGTAAGGTAAGAGATGTGAGGTGTAAGGTAAAAGGTGTGAGGTGTAAGGTAAGAGGCTTGAGGTAAGAAGTGTGTAGTGTGAGGTAAGAAATGTATAGTGTGAGGTAAGATTGGTGTAGTGTGAGGTAAGAGATGTAAGGTAAAAGGTGTGAGGTGTAAGGTAAGGGCTTGAGGTAAGCAGTGTGTTGTGCGAGGTATGTCTTGTGTAGTGTAAGGTAAAAGGTGTGAGGTGTAAGGTAAGATGTTTGAGGTAAGAAGTATGTAGTGTGAGGTAAAAAGTATGTATTGTGAAGTAAGAAGTGTGTAGTGTGAGGTAAAAGATGTGAGGTGTAAGGTGAGAGGTTTTAGGTAAGAAGTGTGTTGTGCGAGGTAAGTTTTGTGTAGTGTAAGGTAAGAGATGTGAGGTGTACGGTAAGACGTTTGAGGTAAGAAGATTGTTGTGTGAGGTAAGAAGTGTGTAGTGTAAGGTAAGATGTTTGAGGTAAGAAGTATGTAGTGTGAGGTAGAGCAGTCATTAACTCAAAAGGTTAAGGTAAAAGGTGTGAGGTGTAGAGATGCGAGGAAGAAATGTAAGTTGTGATGTAAGGGTGTGAGGTAAGAGGTAAGAGGTGTAATGTAAAGGGTATAAGGTTTGAGGTAATAAGTGTTATGTAAGAGTTGTGAGATAGGAGACGTGAGATATAAAGTATGATGTTAGATCATTGGTAAGGTTTGAATAGAGAAAAAACGCCTTTGTACTTCATATGTAAAGCGATAGACTTACCAACAGTTGCGCAACATCATCAGACATGTTTAAGCTGTCTCCAGTATTCCAGGGACTAACATTCTCAACATCATCCAACAATTTCTTCAGATCTTTGGACACTTTTCCTTCTTTGGTAGATTCTTTACCCGTGTCTTTTCCTCTTTCACGTGACAAACCACTTCTTGCAGTCGGTCCTGAGGCATTTGAGCCACGATTCCCAAGAGAACCACCCCGTCCTCTCCCAACACCGGTCTTGTTTGTCGCTGCTGTCGTTGAACCTCTTGGCTTAGATATCCTTGATGTTGTTGGCCTGTCTCTTAAATGCCCAGCTTGAGGTGCTATATTTGTAGGGAATAAATGATAACTTTTATCTAACTGTAGAAGGTTTAATTGACGACTCTTAAAACTCCAGTGTATGCGGGCTTAGCCTCGAATCAAGGAGCTGCTTGTTTTGTTATTCTAATTTTTGCTTTTTTTTACCGACCTCAGAAGTGAGGCTAAAACGCATACACTGAAGTTTTAAGACTCGTCAATTATTAAGTATGTCTGCCAACTTGTCTACCACTTGTCTCATATATTTGTCTTTGAATAGACCTTATTCGTGGTGTGACAATGTTTTCCCAATTCAGCGTGACAAACCTCCAGAGAATTCATTTTTGTTTTTACTCTTCGAACAATTCATGAGTATCTCAAAGGATACGAAAGGAATAACGATGATATCCCGACGAGTTTCAAAACAATAGCTCTTCATTCYCCCAGAGGTTTGTCACGCTGAATTGGGAAAACATTGTCACACCACGAATAAGGTCTATTTTTACTCCTGAGAAAACCAAAACCCTAAAAAACCTCTTTTTACAATTTTGAATTTTCACCTGGTCTAGGTTTCACGAGTTTTCTTTTGGAATAACTGGTAGCAGGCTTCCTTGTCTCTTGCTTGTTACCCTTTGGGAAAAATCGTATTATTTAAAAAATTACAAAAAAACTTCCTACGTTTTTGTTGGTTTGTAGTGCATTTAACAAATTTTGTAAAGTTTTAGCATTTTATGTGCTATTATTTAGCACGATAAGACGTCAACAGTTTTTCAAAATGTTATGTACCCTTGAGGCGTAGCTGAGTGGATACGTAGCTATTTTTTTTACCAACTTTTGAAGTCATATTGGGCTAAATAAGAGAATATACCACGCTCAACCATCAGAATATTTTTTTATTACGAAACAAGGAGAGAGTTTCAAAGAAAAACCGTCTTAAGCGCGCGTTGGCTCCGTGCGCAAACGATTCGTATTTTGTTAGTATGTGCTCTTATTTACAACGGCTCTCGTCCAATCAGAAGGTGGTAAAAAGTAAAACGATTGGTTACATTACATCCCCTCCCCTCACGGTCCTTGTAACAAAAACCATAGCTGTTATCTATGATGAATGGTGTCTTCATTTAGGAATGAGTATCCCCGTCTCAACAAAAGCCCTGAAGATGTTAACAGAAGAGATTTCCTCATCGGCTTACCTTGCTTAGTGTCATCGTTCCCATTCCTATCGGTCGAGTCACACCATCCTTCGTCGAAGAGCTTTTCAAAATCCCCTTTTTCCTGTCAAACTTTGTATTACTCCCAATAACATCAGACAGCAATTCCTTCAGCTCGCTATCATCACTCAGTAGACTTTGAATGTCATGTAAATTGTCCTCGTCCATCGTTGAGCCGTCGGGAATTTGATCCATAAGATTGTCAATATCGATTGACGATCCTGTTCGATACAAGCCCGTTATATCCATCCTGTACTGCTCTGTTTGAGGAATACTGCGTTGTTTTTCTTGTTCTAATTCCTGAGATCGCCGAAGCTTTTCCTTCTCGTGCATTCGGTATGTTTTTATCGTAATGAAGTCGGCACCACTAGGAGTAACCGAGCGAGTCTCTTCTCTACTACCGAGTCCATATTGATTAGTTTCAGCTTGGGAATCCTGGAAATCCATATCTGGGTGTATGGGACTACTTGTGTAAGGTGTCATAGCAAATCCACGATTTGACACTTGATTTTTTCTTTCGTCATAACTATCAGGCGTGGGGTCCCTGTGGTGTACACCACCAGGCCTGGTTACGTCAGACTGGGTGTTAGCTTCGTATGGCAACGATTTTGACTTGTTATATCTATCGTTATGCCTTGATTTGGCTTTTTCTTTGGGTTTTGGTGGGGTGTAACGGATGTTTCGTAGTGTATCAGCCTTGGGGACTGGTTCAGTGAGCATCTCGTTCAAGAGGTTGGACGCTGCTTTCATTCGCTCATCCGTTGAAGCCTCCTCGCGCTTTCTGGTGAAAATAAAAAATAAAGTGTAAGTAAGATGAAGTTGCTTCAAGGACAGAGCGCGAGCATTTCTGTCATCCTTTTTCTTCAACGATGATGCTCTCATCAAGATATCATTTGTAACGCCTGCAAATGAAGCCCTGTTTCAATGGGGAAAGTAAACGGTGACCCTGAGCGCTAAGGGACAAGTTTTCGTTAAATTTCCCAATGGGATACCAATAACAAGAGTTAGCCCTAGTAGTGGGTCACTCTCCCTCATTAAACTGGCTGTAAGATTAATAGTTGTCACCCTTGTAAAAGTGATCATGATGGTGATGATGATTACAAACTGATAAAAACATAAACTCCAAAATGCCAATTCGATCATGGAACGAGGGCCACGTATTTATTAAGTGCTACCATCGTAAAAAGAAACAACAATAACAACAACAACAAAAGATATTGCGCTTAGGAAAAAATTAACATTCGCGCTCCACCATATTGAGAACAGTTTGTCTCTGTTCAAGGGAATATCTTAAGAACTAATGCCTTCCTAAGCATACGGAGTAAAATACTGATAATGTACATTTATCATTTAATTCTGCAAAGAACGTGCGTCATACGGGAAAAGACCATGCCTGATATGAGACCTTATCAGCACTTTTCATCTGCTCGCGATTGGGTACGATAGAGTTTAGAGGGATTTTGAGCATTGCTTTGCAGAATACAATGATAAACAACTTATCAATCGGCTAAGCATCTGATACGGCTGTGCATTTTTTGTGGTCACTTTTTTTGGCTTGCCCTAAAGGCTCACCAAAATACTCCATTACTCGTAAAAATACACAGCCGTATCAGACTTAGCCGACTGATAACCTCTATAAACTAAAAAGACACTATCTTTTTTATTTATCCTTTTTTTTTTCTTTTTACCTTCTCTTCGTTTCCCTCTCTTTCGCGGCGAGTTTCATCTTCTTCAGCGAGGATGCGCCCTGCAACAATAATAAAGCCATGAGTCAATCACAAGGTGAATAAACACTTCAAGCATTATATCGACAAATGTTTCTCCTGATAAGAAAGCCCTTCAATGGTAGATATCAAGGAGTTTGGGTCAGTTGTGCACTACTTTGACCCCTCAACCTCGCTTCTATGACTTTCAAAGCCAAAGTCAATCTGATCGCGGGTTCAATCGTAATAACAGCTATTTATAGATAAATAATTCCAGTGACTCGTATTTTAACTTAATCCATTTTGTTCTTCATTTCTGTAGCTCTCCCTTCTCATCCTGCCTTGGCAAAGTTGATTTTTCAGGCACCAAAAGTTTACGCAGTTTTATAGGAAATTTGTATCCTGAGCAATCTTAAGACCAGTTTTATCTTTAAAATTTCGCCTTTCCCTAATTTTAAGTTAAACAGTAGTACCTCAGTAGCTGTGGTGAATGGTTTGAATTCTGTAGACCGTAATTCCTCCACTTCATTTTTCCAAGTTGCGTGTCTTTCTGCACGTTTCTTCGCCATCCAATCTTGAATCTTCTTCCTCTTCTTGAAAGACCTCTGATTATTTCTAGAATAGTAAAAAAAAAAAAGAGAAAGAGATATTGTATTGAATGAATGAAGGAATTTCTCCTTTTAACAAATCGAAGTCGGTTTTCTATGGTTCGACAATGGTTCTAAGCCAATCAGCGCGGGAGAAATTTCCAAGTTATGGTAAAAATAAAAATGGACGTTTTCCAAGTTGAATATTTCATTGGGTATCACTTGTGTGGCATTTTTGTCGTTGCTGCTGCTGTTGTTATTCTTGCTGCAGCTGTTGTTCATATCCTTGGGTATTATACTATTTTCCTACTTGTTCCTATAGGGCCGTATGTTTCCCTCCTCCCGTATTGAAAATTCATATAACACCAATATTCACAGATAGCATTTTATCGCAGTCTTAAGTACTTTACTTACTTTTCCCGTCTAGACGAGTCTCGGCTGTCAGAAAATATTTCCTTGAGCGTCTCAGAAGATAGTTTTGGCATATCTCTAAATGAACCACTATTGGAGTGCCTTCAAAACAAGACGACAAAGTTAGAACGGCTAAAACTGTGAACTATTGGTATCAAATCAAATGATGCTGGTAGTGATGATGATGATGGTGATGATAGTGATGATGGTGATGATGATGGTGATGATAGTGGTGGTGATCTATAATGGTGATGATGACGGTAAACAACAATGATGATACCCTAAAGAATAATTGGACACAGCTGTACTTCTGACTCGCATACAGGTCTCYTTCGTACAGGTTAATAATAAATATTATGTGATATCCTCAACAGTTTTAATTTTTTTTACCTTGAAGAAGCCATATCACTCAATCTGTCTTTAGTATATTTCTGCTCACTGTCAAACGAGTCACGTGATTTTACAAGATCACGTGGTTCTTCTAGATCACGTGACGACCTTGGCGTAGCTTGATCAATATTTTCATCGGTTTCTCTATTCCCAGATTYTTTCAACGTATCATTTTCTGGTGACAAATCTTTTTCCGAGGCTTGTTCCTCCTCTTCTTTACTTTCATCTTTGAACGACACTTTCCCTTGGTTTGTAATTTCATCGTCAGGTTTGCCGAGCTCGGCGTCATCAAGAGCACCATCAACAGAAACTAATTGGAAGAAATGGTATATAATTAATACTTTAAATTTTCTAAAAAATAAAAAATTGTTACGTTACGTGCCATTGTTTAGCGAAGGGTGTGGGGTTTGCTTTTGGTTAGATGATATGGGGTTGGGTTGGGTTAGGTTGGGTTGGGTTGGGTTGGGTTGGGTTGGGTTGGGTTGGGTTAGGTGGTGGGTTAGGTTGGGTAACGTGTTGTGGGTTAGGTTGGATTAGGTGGTGTGGGATTGGTTGGGGTGGTGTGGGGTTAAGTTGGATTGGGTGGGCTTGTGTTGGGTTGGGTGATGTGGTGTGGTGTGGTGTGGTGTTGGCTTGAGTGGGGTGGTGTGGGTTTAGGTGGTTTGAGCTTGGTTGGGTGGGGTTGGGTTAGGTTTGGTTGGGTGGTGAGGGGTTGGTCGGGGTTCGGCTTGGTTTGGTTGAGTGGTGTGGGTTTGGTTGAGTAGGGTTGGGTTAGGTTTGGTCGGGTAGTGAGGGGTTGGTCGGGGTTAGGCTTGGTTGGGTTGAGTGGTGTGGGGTCGATTTGAGTTGGGTTAGCCTTCGTTGGGTGGGTCAGGTGGGACTGATGCACAATGTTGCATACAGATGTATTTGAATAATTTTTCTGACCTTCCTCGTACACTTTTTCTATTTTGTTTGCTTCTTATACATAACTTTACTGCATTCTTTTCTCCAACATATATCCACTTTTTAGTGACCCTCTCTTCCCCTCTAAATGACCGGGCACTCAAAAAAGGAAATACAATCAACCACCAATTGCCATCCAATCATCAGACATACCCAACCAGAAGCAGGGGCTGCAATTCCAATAAATTTACCATTTGCTGATGAGCTTGGAGTTTCTTCTTTTCTGTATACAGGACCATCTTTTTGACGTCTCCAGGGTGCTGGGTCCCGGACTCTCTGATACCTCTGTGGTAGTGTTTTCTCATGACGTATTGATGAGGCTGCACGCTGTTTAGCAGAACCACTAGACTCTTTAGCAGGTGGTGGTGTCATAATGTCTCCAATACTTTCAATCGCATTCAGCAACTAAACATACATGAAAAGATTTAATTAGGGCTTTCGCCCGGAATAACCTCGTTCCCAAGCACTATAACTTATCTATATTTCTATATCTTCATGTATTTCATAAGTGCTATGCGGTCAACATATTCTCATCGATTTAAAGAGGTGTGCTGTTATAATGAATGGCAATGTATGGTCTGCGCTGCTGGCTCTATTGGGAAGGGGGGAAGGAGTAGCAGCAGATTTAGGGGAAGGGCAATGCCCCTTCCCCTTGAATTTGAGATGCAATTCTTTTACCTTTTCTGTCTAAAATATCCCCAGAGCAATGCAGGAAATAGCACCTGAGGTGAGCCTCTCTTCTCCCCTCCCCAAAATCTCACGGTCCAATAGTCTGGCTAAGAAGGCTAGTCATGTCTGAAGTCGCTAATTCAAACTTAAGTGGGTTTCCTGTGGCAGCTTTATAAACCATCAAAATAGTACTCTAACTAAGGCTAAAATCCCAGACTTTTAATGGTATTTCTAGATAGCTAAAGTCTGGTCAACAAAACAGCGAGTAGGCATTGAATGAGAGAGAGAGCGCTATTCAACTTAAAGGAGTATGTAATAGACCTACTTGTCTCAGCTAATAACATCCCCTGAATAGAGGCAAAAATACTTACTACATTAGAGCTCTTGAATTCTCTCTCCATATTGTTAGTAATTTGTTCCATGGCCTCAAGCTGTTGGGTCATTTCTTCAAGACGATTTGAGATTCTCTCTTTTGAGACATTTTGAGCTGAGTGCATCCTAAGATATTGAAGAAAAACAGTATGCAGGTTTATGATAATACTTCAATTTTTGAGAAGACATTTTTGTCCAAGGCGTTTCTAAATAGTGATATCTAGAAACGATGTAAAGTAAACTTTGAGTAGATCACATCATTCGTATGACAAACAAATTCTGGGTCCAATATGAAAAGCCATTTTAGTTATACATAAATTTTCTTTACAGAAGATTTAAACTTTCAAAACTTTGAAAAAACAACAAAGTTTTGGTTTTAACTGATGAATACCCTGATACAGCCTCTGGGCTGATCAAAGCAGTTTAATTAAAATTTCAGACTAAAAAATAGGGTCATCAAGGGCTGAAGGAAGTAAGGGGTCATCAAGTTTTTACAAAGCCAAAAAGGGTGGGTTATCAGTATTTTCATTCAATCCAAAGTTCTGTCACCGAAAGACAAGACTTACAAACAATGGGTAAGGTCGCCATATTTATTACTTTGAAGAGAGGGAGTGATGTCAATTTTTTATATTTTTGCCCCAATCTAAAATTGAATGCTGCCTTAGTTACCGTTGTCTTGGGATGTCGATAGAGTCCATCATCGTAACAGTCAAAGAGTCATGTTGCTTCGGCTGATGATCGAATCCCTTGGATAAATGATGAGGAGCATGAGGTGCTTGTCGATCTTTGGATGAAAAAAAAGACACCTTTAGGAGAAGTGAACAAAAGACAGAATAACTTCACTTGTCTTCATTAACAGTTTATGACATATTATGCATTAGGTTTCTATTAGCTGATAAAAGCCTTTTAATCTCATTATTTGGTCCAAATTGTGCTCAAGCACTGAGTAACATGCGCTGTCAGCTAAGGAAATAATCCTTTGAAAGTTTGTGATTCAGCTGATGAACACTTCCGGACGAGGCAGGAAATGATGTCAAGTGAAATCAAGCAATACTCAGGCAATACTCAGACAAGACAGTTGGGCTTTATAAAGAAAGGTGCAACATATATTATTGCAGATTTTGATTGGCAAATTAGCATGATAACCAATTTTTATAAACGATATATGCTCTCCCTCTACTGCAATAAGCACTCCCAACGCCTGTGCATGCACTATGTTACAACACTGCTGACCTGTATGCTGTTCAACATCAGAATGGATTTCTTCTGTATCATTTCTCACGTGTTCTTCTTCCTCGTGCCTCTCTATTGCCATGGTACTATCTTTTACCTTTTCCCACAGCTTACCGTCGATATCAGCCACGCTTATGAACTGGTTAACACTTTCCTTGTCTCCTAATATCTCTCTGGTGTCAACTTCCAGTGCGTCACTATCACCRTCATCATGGACTTGATCACAAGGGAATGTCAAACCCATGAAAATATCAGGCGGGAGTACAGGAGCAAAGGCTTTTGGTTTGTCCATTGCAGCATCTTCACTCCCTTCTCTTATTGGTTCAGTTTGGTTTCCTTGACTCGACGTTGAACGAGGAAGATATTCATCTTCCACTTGGATTTCCACACTGTTGTGTTGCTTTGCGCGCATTTCCCTGTAAATGTCGTCTTCAAAGTGAACATTTGTTCCTTTCTCGTGCTTTACTGATCTCTTCCTTGGAATGGGGTGATCTTTTTCTTTATTTTCTTTCGCTTTTTCCATCAGAGACAGTGTCTTAGTCTGTGCTTCATGTCCTGATGCAAGTTCCATTTCCCTGGCACGAGCTTGCTGTTCTAGACGTTCCTGCAGCGCCAACTCTTCTCTCACTCGTTTTCTCACTTCTTCTTCCTCTCGTTGCTCTTTCATTTGTTTCTTCACTTGTTCCTTTACTTCTTTTTCCATTTCTTCTTTCATGCGCTCTTCTAGTTCCTTATCAAACTTTTTTCTAACTCTACCTTCCAGTTCTTTACAGTACGCATCTACTTGTGGATTGGTAACTTTTGGCGTGCTTTGGATATTAAAATACATTTGCTCTTCCTGTGAAAGGTCAAAGTTTTCGCTAATATCCGACAATTGTAATTCACTTTCGTCGCTCAACCCTTCATCAAGAGTTACTCTCGATGGTTTTGGCTCTTCGTTTGCCTTTTTCTTACTTTTATTTGGCTTTGTTCGTTGGGCTGGTTTAACATGCACCTGTTGTGGCTTAACTTGATCTGTCTCTTCAMGTAAGTGTTCCCTTCTTCTTTGCCTAAGAATTCAGTAGAAGAGACATTTTAAAACGCACTCTCTAAAAAACTAAAGGGAAGACAAAAATAAATTACAAAAGCACATTCATGAATGGAAGCACCAGAATGATTCCAGATTCGCTGTTTACGTCAGTAACCAGCGCGCGCATTCTTCCATCTTCTTAAGACACAGTAATACGGGCAACAGAATCGCGCAATCTTTTGTTCGTATAGCCACTGCGTGCGCAACATGTTTTCTGTGTTGCGAAAAGTAATAAATGGCTTTTACTTCGTGTGACAAGCAACTCCTACTTTCATGTGAGCCCAGGAATGGAACCCGGGACCCTAAAGCCGAGAATCGAGTGCATTATAGCGCTACATCAGACACCCTTGATTTACAAAGGATAAAAACTTAGATACAAAACATGTTTAGTTACCTTGTAAGAACATGCGTAATAGGTAAATTACGAGCCTATTACGCGTGTTCTTATATGATTTCCGAGCCCATCCCACACGGCTTACCGCGTCATCTATTTAGTTACCTTGACATTGTTTGCCTCAAGTCATTTGTTGGTTCATCGTGTTGCCTGCCTGAGGTATATCGTTTTTCCTCGTGATTCCTTTTCGGTTTGATATTCTCCTTCTCCATTCTCGAATATCGAGGTGACTCATCCTTTCTTTTTCGCTTCTTTTCGAACGCTGCCAGCTCTTCTGGAGGAACGAGTTTAGGCTTACGTTCTGGTTTTCTCTCAGGCATTCGTAGTAGAGGCATGGGCGTTTCATTGGTAAACACATCGTTAACCGGGATGTTTGTAAAATCGGGGCATCTTGATTGCTTTTCTGGTACGTGCAGCAGAAGATTTTGGGTTCCATAGGTATTCCTTGCTTCTCCCTTCTTCAGCAACGAGAAAGGATTATTATTCCTACTGACCTCAAGGAATTTTATTTTACTAAGATCAGGTTTGTTTTGGCTTTTGTCTTGACTCGAGGGAAAGCGAAGAAGCGGCAGATTACGAGACTCGGAAGGAATTTGAAACAATTGGAAAGTCTTTGGGTTTGACGTTGACACTTGCTTTGACATATTCAGTAATGGAAAACTAGTTTGCTTTTCGATGGGGCCGCTTTGTGGATATCCTCTAAACATCTTCATAGGTGGAGCATTACCAAAAACGCTTTCGTTGGAAATGGCTGGTTTCTCGTTTAAACGCAGAAGCGGAAAAGGAATGTTGTAGTTATTAGTATCACTTCTGTCCGGCCATGCATATCGAGGTGGTTGCTTTGTACCATCATTCAAATCCAACGACATTTGATCTTCTGAAGCCTCGTTTATGCCTTCAGATACTCCGTGATTTATCAACTGTGAAGGGTCTGGAGAAAAAGCAGTTTGACAACTTGCATCTCTGCTCTCATCGTACTGCGCGCTGAAGTCAACTGACGATACTCCCTTGTCTGCGCGATCGCTAAAGACAACATCTTCGTCATTGTCTGTAGGAGCTTGAGTCCTATGTTCTGTCTGCGACCCCATGTCTTTGATAATGGTTCGAGTATTGACAGCATTATCATTTGGAGTGATATTTGTGGGTTCCGTTATCATTGTAGATAGCTTTAGTAGAGGTACATGAGTTGTATTTGTGGCAATGTCAGGCTGGTGTCCCGCATTCGAAGGTCTAGGGAAAGAATGAATGAGGCTTAAAAAGCATTTCCAAAAATGTACCGTCAGACGTCAGTTATGTTACGAAATTCTTTACACGACGTTTATTTTTATTTTTTTCTTAAAACACTCATTAATAATTCATAAGCTTATGGTCCAATTGGAGCAACCATACACGTCACGTGCATGAACCTTTATACCCGATAAAGTCCTCTTCATTAGTATTCAAGTGATTTTATATAAAGACACATGTGTCTTTATATAAAGACACATGTAATCTTTATATAAAGACCACTCGAATACTATGAGGATGACTTCATCAGGGATGAAGTATGCATCCAAGTTTAGATGAAGACATAGAGCTTCATCAAGGTCATAATCAACCCTAATGATCTTTGACTAACGTGCCTGTCTTTGCCTTGGCACGCAATATCCAACGTGTGGGAGCTTCTATTGAATCTGGTTGCGCATGCCCGTGACGTCAAATCTCTATCGAAGTATAAAAATCCATGTTCGTGACGTGTATGGTGGCTCAAGTTGAACCAAAATCTTATAAATTGTTCATGAGTGTTTTAAGCTGTTCAAAAAACTCGTAGATCGTGTTTTATCAGGTATAAAAGCACTCGGCTACGCCTCGTGCTTTTATACCTGATAAAACACTCCTACTCGTTTATTAAACAGTACTTAATCAATTGTTGTATTAGACACACCAACACAATCCCAACTAGTAACCCCCCGTCATCATCAATACGTTGACAAACAAGTTAATGATACACAAATGCTTTATTAATACCTCAAAACTAGGAGCAGCTCAACTCCTCCAGACACCGACTGAGGCGCACTGTTTCCAGGCAGTAGATCACGTGACCTGTCAATCATTTGTTGCTCCTTAAAACCCTCAGTGGGGACATCTTGAATAATTGACCGTGGTTTACTTGCTGGACTAGAGTGATAATCTGGTTCTCTTGAATGCAAACGGTGAGAACCAGCTKCAAAGTTTGGCACAAAACTAGGACTCAGTGTCTCATGTGAATCGTGCAAGTCAGCTTCATGAGTAGGAGGAGGGTTGGACCTGGTGTCACGTAGGTCGTTACGTAAGGAGGCCTTCGGTGTATCAGTCAACTGATCTGCAGTCTTGTTAGTGAGCGATGTTTCATCCTCAGCTGGCTTAGACTTCGCGCGAGGTTTGTGCGATTTCGGCGTCCTTGAATCTGTAATAAAACTTTCTTAGTTTAACACTAGAATGTTGTGAATCATACACGTCCTATTCAAGGCAATTATTGGAAACCTTTAATAGAAAAATATACCATGTTTTGCGAGAGTTAATCTGAAGCTAATAAAATGGTTGTTCTCGTTGATCAAATTGTAAGTCGTTACTTTTTTTCTTTGTTTGTTTGTTTGTTTGTTTTTGCGAAGGAGGGGGACAAGAGAATCCTAATAAAAATAATTGAAGCTTTATCAGCACACGCCACTCGCTCGAATAAAGGCTAAAACGGACATGAGAATTTTCAGCGTGGATATACAGCAAGCAGGAAGAATGTCATAAATTATTTTWAAAAATTGAAAATTTGTTTACCTTTCATTACTTGAGGTGGTTCACTTTTGGCATTGATGACATCATCGTGTATGTCTTCCACTTGCTCGTCCAGATTGAGAGATCTCTTCACTGATTTGCTTTTTTTCCGAGATCTCTTATCTTTGGGTGTTATTTTTTCTTGTTTGGGTTTCGAAGCCACCGGTTCTAAAGGAAGAAACTTAATCAATACTAGCTGCTTTCGTTCGCGATGCCATGCAACACCCGACAGAAATACCCAGCGCCAACATAACAAGAATTTWAAAATCTTAAGGCTTTCTTTAAGAATCTGAAAATGAATTGAATGCATAAGAAAAGGGAGGGAGAGATAAATATATGGACGGCTAAAGTGAGGAAACGATGAATGAGTCGCTGGCTAAAGGGAGAAAGAGCTCCAGCGACGGATAGACGGCTAAAGGTAGGGGGAGATGGACGTAACGACGGCTAAAGGGAGGAAGAAATGGATGGATAGACTGAGAATTAATGAGGAAAACTATCCAAGAATAAGATACTTTCTACTAACTTGCAACGAAACCATTTAATTTACTTTCAAAAACAAATACAGTGAGGCATGGGAATGAAAGCCCAAGTGTCAACTATAAACCCAGTGGCGCAAAAGAAAGAAGACAAGGTGCCCAACTCCTTCAATTCATTTTTCCATATATTATGATATTTGAAATTCTATTTAAATAAAGCAATTCCAACTTAGTATAGTGCTTAACCTGTGTCTGAATGATGCGCTGTTTCTGCCTCGAGTTTCTTCTCGTGTTTTGCGCGACTTTTCCTTGATCCTCCTCGTTTTTCATGTCTTCCAYGACTCTCGTCCTCAGTGGTAGGACTTTGTACCGAGATACGTGGAATATCTGTGTCGCTGGATGCCCTCCTCAACAGAGTGCGTGATGGCCATTCTGAAGTGAATCCTTGACTGGCTTGTGGAGGTGTCTCCTGTACGAGGCATTCTTGTAAGACTAAAGAGCGATCTTTAGGTTTTGGAACTTGCTTGAGGAACTCAGGGTTAACCTGAAATTTGAAGTCAATAGTAATTGTTACAGTAGCTCCGACATAACGCGCGCTCTGACTACTATGAGATGAAAGAAATAGATGGCTAATACAAAGTACGCGCGCATGGCAAAGTCAAATATCGTCTATGCCTGATGGCGTCATTTGACTCCCACTACCATAATGCTTCGCGAATTTTCTTTCCATTTCAATTTGTAGTAGAGGTCAATGACGCCATCATGCAAACGCGCTCTATTTCGCTTCTTTCGTGTTAAGCAACTTCTTGTGTGCAGCCGGAACCGGATATATACGCGCTATACATAGGATATTTTTTCAACAATTGAAGGTCTTTGAGCAAATCCGACAAAGCATGTCGCAAAGCACGATTTTAGTCGTATCGCATATTTGCGCACTTTTCAGACCGGCATAGAGTCCCGTTTTAATTTGTAAACAGCTTGGAATAGAGGGGGGATGTACAGTACTGACTCACAGCACGTACGAGGTAAGAGAAACCGCGACGCTGAAATGACATCGCAYTGCTTTCGTACAATCCATTCAATCACAATCCTTAGATACTCCTTAGATACAAGTTGTATCGTAAGGGGTACGGCTATAGTAGGGGTAGCAATTTTGGAAAATCATAACAAATCAACTCATATCGTTTTCGTAATAAATATTGCGCTATAGACACTCCTTTTGCATGAATATTTAACTAGGAGTAGTCACACTTACATTTTCATTTAACTCCCAAGGTCCATAGATATTTTTGAGCAGCCACAAACCGTTGACTAACATTGGTAATTCAACATGTACTTTCATCACAGGAAGCACGTCACTGGCGCGTGTTACTGCCTTCTCGATGTTGCTACTGCCTTCAGAAGACCACCTGAAGTTCAGGAAAAAGAGAACACTAGATTATTAAAATCCCACTAATATTTAAATGTAAAAAAGAAAGTTGTAATATATTTTTTTAGCAGGGAGTAATTACTTAATGTCTTGAGCCATAGGCTCATGACTAAAGCACTCGACGCCAGATGTAATCGGAATTTCGAAGTCGATTTTTGAGGAAGAACTTTTTCGGAAACGCAGGAGAGAACCAACAAGCAACCTATTCTTCCTTCATTACATCTGTGTAATTCCTTCCTTCTTTCCTTCCTTCTTTGCCTGTCTGCCTTCCTATCTGCATGGAAGCCCATGAGGGATTGTTTTGCGAGTCGTAGCGTTGTATTGCAGCACTTTACTTTACTTTCAATATCCAGATTATTTTTAAGGAGTAGTCGGTTCTGCATCATATCAGTTTTCTAATGACTCCTAGCTTCCGCATTAAAAGGAAAACGGGAAACAATCTTACAGGCAAAGCAGTGACTCACCTGCTTAGAAAGGTCAAATTTGGTAGCATCTCCATGATTTCATCTCCAAGGACAACAAGACCTGAATTCCCGGTTGCTTTACTGACATCGTTCAAGCTGTTGCTTCGTCTGGCGTCTGTCTGTCCACCGCGTAACGACTCATTTCGCCCAAGATGAGGCTTAGCGCCTGGTTTGTTTGAGCGAACATCAGAATAGCTTTGGCTACGACAAAGAGAACTCCCTGATATCTTCTTTATTTTATCTACACTTGCCTTGTCATGAAACTCTTTCAAGGCTCTGTTTTCAGAAAACGTGAACAACTTTTCATAAGGAAGAAGTAAAGGAACTGAGCTTGTCGTGGTGGCTTGTCCAGCGAACTGAGAAGCAGTCTTAGTAAAAGTAATGAGAAAAAAGGTGTCCAGAAAATCAAGGTATGCTTGAGAAGTTTCGAAAATTGTTGCTCCAACGCTAGCAAGATTTCTACTTGTGGTGAATAAAAGATGGGACTTTGATTTGATGTTTGACTGCAACTCGTCTTCATTGTTTACCCGTGGGAAGATTTCTCTTTGGACGTCACCATAGAGACGATGTCTCTCTTTTAGTTCATCTTCCCAATCAACGCATTTCATTCGGTAAAAAACTGACAACGGCTCGTCAGAATTATCTTCCTCGATGCTCCCAGCTTCTCGCAAGGTTATGCTACGAAATTGAGTCATAAGGCGTTTGAATTTTGCTCTTCCTGATGTACTTGGAATGAGATTTGGATCTGGGAAATATTGGGCTGTAATGTCTGCTGTTGCTATACTTGGCTGCATCTCTGAGAGAAGAGTTAGCAAGGTGTCAGAGATATGGGATGCTGCACCGAGGAAAGAACTGAAGGGATGGAGTTCTAGTGTCCATCGAAGAGTTTCCCAGCACAAGCCATCGATTAGGTCTGCAGTCTAACARAAGGAATAAAAGAAAAATATATATATTATCAAGACTTAGAAACAACTAAATTGGCAAAGTTCGGATTTGAAACGGTAACCAGAGGTTTACATACCTGGGRGTTACTTTCCGCTTCATTTCTAGCTCGTCTGTACTTCCTGGCACAGTAGCTCATCTTATCCCTGGCATGAAGCATCCACATTACATAGCAAAACTGCTGGAAACAAGACAATACTACGCTGACTGATGAACTGTGGGTGGTATTCGGCCGAGGAGGGCTTGGCTTTCCTGATATAAGGAAAAATAATATTAAGACTTCTGGAAGGAACTACATGTACCCAACAAGAGATTTGTACAGACAAAGTACAAGAAAACCAGCTTGAAAGACGTCCTAAGGACCACCAAAATACTCTGTAGAACCYCTAGAAAACCACAACAAACACTAACCATGAACCGTAGCGAAGAGAAAGCTTAAGAACAATGAATATTAAGAATGATTAGTTTTTGGAATAAAGGAAGTCAGTGCCGGGCGATTATCTCCACAACGTATTTCTATCGTATACCCCTTTTGACTCAAACTCTTTTCGTTTGTGAGCGATCTCCCTCCCTCCAATACCCTCTTTCTACTCTCTCTTCTTTTTCAAGAAAATCTACAAGGGTGTAATTTGAGAGCTTTATTGGTCGCACGCATCAGGGAGGGGCGTAGTTGTACACAAGGGTCAAAGAACTTCAAAATCAAGGAATTATAGTACCTTTGTTCTTTGGAGAATTTCTTTTCAGCGCCTTAACCAGACTCTCCTCTGCAGTGACAAAGGTGCTCGTCATCTCAGAGTGGTTCGCGAGAGACTGTGGCAGAACGAAATCCTGGTCATCTTTTGGTACGTTATACCATTTTTCATTGGCAACGATGAGTTCCTGAACATACCACTGAATGCAGGCGGCCATACAGTTCGATGAGTGAAATAAAGTTAAAAGTTTTTGGACTAACACCGCGATTTCTGAGCGTAGTTGTCGTTCGCGGTAGACACGAGGCAGAAGAACTTCCTGAAAAAAATAAATTTTTACCCAGAACATTGAAGTCAAATTTTGATGAGTTTTCTGGAAAAAATATTTTACCAAAACGATTGGGTGGCGCTTATCGACCTTTGGCGGCCATCTTGGTACTTGACCAGCGTTCAAAGGGAGTCCTGCAAGGGGGGCCAGTGGAAAAWAAAAAAAAAAGAGGTGGGGGGAGGGGAAGGGAGGACGCCTACATCATGAGAGCACACAGCAGTATCCAATATAATGTCTATTCTACCTTGTATTTTATAAAAGAAATAAAAAAAACTTGCTTTTTGTGCTGTGTGCAGTTATAAAGCTTGATTGGAAGAACAATCAAAAAGTTTCGAGAAGCACTCTGCTATGCGTTGCCCTTCTCCTAACACTTCTCTGGGGCTCTGCCAATCGTCTCACACAACTGCRYACAGCACGCGCGCGTTGTCTATTAATTCAAGAAAATCTATTTTGGAGTGAATATCAAGCCAGAGGGGGGATCCTGATGTGTTACCTTTTCTGTAGTTGGTGGTTGAGGGCAGAAMAGTGGGGGAGCTGGTAAGTACAATTCCTCTGGGACAATCCATTCCATCTGGGACACTAAACCAAGCAAGTCATGCAACATCTTCCATGTTAAGATAGGCACAATGTCAAGCCCAGCGACAACACTAGCTTGAAGCATTTTCCCAACATCTTTAACTAACTTGTCATCAATCTCAAGTTCTATTTTCCCATGGTTGGGTTCTTCCACCATGAAACGTTCTTTGATTGGAGTTGAGGTTGCGTCTTCTGGTATTTCAATAGCGATTTTTTGAATGCTTGCCAGTAGAGTAGATTGAGGGGAATGAAATATCGGRTGTAATCGCACGAGGACAATTTTTTCAGGTGTAACATGTTCTGGAAGACTTGGGAGAAGAGTAACAGGTAGATTTTCTGCTAAAGAGTACTTTGAAATATTAGCATGAGCCACGGATAGTAGGAGAGCGTGCTTCCAATCCCCAAGGTTATTGGTTAGCCATGCAGCTTCTCCAACCAGACCAGACACTAACATAAACTCCAAGGCATTATTTGCGCTCCAGATATCCGACACTCCTTGATCTCTTGCAGCTGCTGAAACCTTATCTCGGTCAAGATGCAAGGCCTCAACTCCTTGAGACAGTGCAAAGGACTCATCTGAAGTACTGTCAAGTTTACTGGGCTCTACGCTCATGTAAAAGGGTGGCAATGCTTCTGGATGGTACGATGGGAAGATATATAGAGGAAGATTGGAGAAATAGGCAGCCATGAAGCGCGCAAGACTTTGWACCACAGGGACTCCACATTTGTCAGCAACACGAAGGATAGGGTAGGTTTGAAGAAGGACACCAAGTATTTGACTGGTGGCATAGTCCTGTCCGCCAGATGGACGGAGAGTATCAATGATGGGAGCAAATAAAGAACTCAGTGATGAATCAAAATGCTCTAATGGTGGTTCCATGAGAGAGAACACAAGTTCTAGCGCCGATCTCAGGTTGTATTGCTGCAGATTGACATAGAGTATAGCAAGCAAAGTCTCTGCGGTCTTGTCAGTAATACTAACGTTTGACACTGCAACATCAGGAGTGTTCAATTCTCGTCTCTGATGAGGTGACTTGATACTTGAAGCATYTAGAAGACGGTCAAGGGAGCCTGCTTTTCGGAGCCTTGTTGGTGTACTTTGCTTCGGTGTTTGGATCCCACGGTTCGCTCGTTTACGTCCAAACAAGGAATCCCCGGGACTGTCTACCATAGGTAACCCAGTTGCAGTAATGTCATCTTGTCTTCTTTCGACTACAGGAGACGCATAGTCAGCTTTTGCAGGACCTGTTGAAGGTATCGCTACCCCTGCGTCCTGCAACTTCTTCTGAATATCACAGAGAAGCTGTGTCCTTACATCAGATCCACTACCATCAACACCATCTTCCATCTCCTTTCTTTGTTTATTTGACTTCTTGCAAGAGTTTGCAGCGTAGTTGTACAGTAATAGCCATGGGGCCGACAAAGAAGAAGCTACTTGTGATCTTTGCTTAGAGCAGCCTTCAGCACTCTCACTGGACGGCTCTACTTGATCAGATTCTTTGCCATCTTTTAGAAGATCACCAGGGACACTTTTAGTGGGACTAAAACGATCTACTGACCCAACAGACTTTGAGCTCAGCTTCCACGAATAAACCGTATCAAGGAGATCCTCGGAAAACTCAAGGAACTGAATACAGCTGGATATTTTGAGCACATCCGAAAAATACTTGTAAGCGAGAATTTCTTTGATGATGCCATGAACTAGTCTTAATGCCAAGGAAAACGCGTTCCTGTTCTTGGAATCCCAATGAAAAAGCTCCATCACCATCTTGAAATAAGTGAAGCAATCCTTCAACCTCTGTGTCTGAGATTCTAATGGCTGCGTTCGACCTGCTTTAAGCTCTTTGGCTGTTCTTGAAACCATCTTAAGAGAACTGGTCAGAGTGCCCTCAAGCGATTCGTGGTCTCGTAAAAGAACCGAAAATAATTTCACGATCATACGAACCAAAGAGTACAGCGTACTACTGATGTCTTTTGTCCAGTTAATTCCAGCTGAAGTACCAAGTGCGAGTGCTTTAAGAGAGATGTTTTGTGCTTCTACGAATTTCCATGCCTTGTCTTGGTGTACTGGTGGTGAAGTGTRTTGGTCTGGTGTGATGATTGGCATGAAGGCCATTCCTTGGTCTCCACTTGCAAGACCATAACCTTGGAGTGATAAGAAAATGAGTATCAAATCTACATGTATTATGTATTATTCATTCAATCACGCATTCACCGTCCTATCTTTTTTGCCCACTAACTCACTCATACACCCTGCTGCTGTTAATGTTATGTGATTGGGTCAGAATGCAAAGCTACCATCACCACTAYATTTACTGTTTACAACACACAACATTCAACATTTTTACGGAAGTCATTCACACTAAAGGGGTTACCCTGTGTAAATCAAGGTTATGCCTTATTTTTGACTGAACTACATGACATACGAGTTGGGTTTGTTTGAAGAGATGTTTTTTTCTCTTGTTACAAGGATTTTTCTCYGCGTTCTCCRGTTTTTCTCCCCTTTGTTATCGATAGGAGCCTTAAAGATGAACTACACAGTGGCGGGGGGCARCACTGTAACAGCGTACAGGTATGCCAYCTAATTRTGATATGACAAAGTCATTTCTTGTAAGTTGAAGGGTTACCTGCTAAAGAACTAGAGCTGGACAAAGTATTCTCACCTAATGTGCCACCTAATTATGATATGACAAAGTCATTTCTTGTAAGTTGAAGGGTTACCTGCTAAAGAACTAGAGCTAGACAAAGTATTCTCACCTAATGTGCCACCTAATTATGATATGACAAAGTCATTTCTTGTAAGTTGAAGGGTTACCTGCTAAAGAACTAGAGCTGGACAAAGTGTTCTCACTCATCTCCTCTACAGACTGCACCCTGCTTAAGTTTGAATCCAACTGGAAGAGATTGACACGGCTGGTCGAGTGGGTCGACTGTTCAATGTTTTGATTGACTTCCGATTCCGGAACAAGCCTGAAATAAGTGATACAAATATCAGTTGAGAGSTGGCCGTGGTAATGATGGAGAATTCCTTATCAGAACAACTAATGAATGGAAATTCTGGAAAAGGGAAAAATAGGAACTAGAAAACATGTGGGTTTAGAAGAGGACAACGGGAGATCGTGGGGGTATATGTGGGAAAATCTTTCCCCACCCACCCACCCGAACAATGCCCTGGGCAAAAGATTAGGACAGAAAAATTCAAATAGAGTCGGCCCAGAACCTTCAAATATTATTGAAACCTGGAACAACGTTGAGGCTGATCCAAGTTAGAACATGTCTAACTTACAGATCGAACCCAGAAACAACCTCTGGGCTGATCTAAGTCAGGGCATGGCTAACTCACAGATCGAATGTTGAAACAACCTCTGGGCTGATCTAAGTCAGGGCATGTCTAACTCACAGATCGAATGTTGAAACAACCTCTGGGCTGATCTAAGTCAGGGCATGTCTAACTCACAGATCGAATGTTGAAACAACCTCTGGGATGATCTAAGTCAGGACATGTCTAACTCACAGATCGAACCCTGAAACAACCTCTGGGCTGATCTAAGTCAGGGCATAGCTAACTCACAGATCAAACCCTGAAACAACCTCTGGGCTGATCAATTTCAGGACACTGCTAACTCACAGATCTCATTGGAATTCAGGACGTTATTGCATGTAGGTCTTATCAAGGGAGGAAAACTGGAGAATCCAGAGAAAAACTTGTCCGCAATCAAGGGGGAGGCTCTGCTAACATGTGATGCCGAGTTCAGGAATCAAACCCATGCCCCCACAGGTGACACCACCCTTGATTCCAAATGGTTCCTTACCTTGAAACAGAAGTCATGAATGACAAGATGACTCCCTTATAGTTAGCAATACCAGGCAACTGCATGACCGTTACTAGGTAACCATCTGAGGTGAGGATCACGGGAAGGTTTGGGTGAACAGCAACTGAAAACCTTTGTCGTAGTATATCAGCATCTGAGTTTGATGAGATGGATGAGTCGCWCTCTCCATTGATCTTTGGTTTGCTGTAGAGATTGAAGGCTGATTAATAAGAGGAATATTTTTGAAATGTTTTCCCTGCAAAAAAGCTCTGTAATTAATTAGAATTAGTAATAGAATTATATTAGGTTTTTGTGTGCCAATACTGCAAATCCGTAGCCGTAACTACGCGTTGTGATTGGATAAATCGCTGGAAGGCAATGGAAAGCCATATCAATGTTACAGCATGTACCATATACGTGCTGTAAGTCAGTACCATATGTTTCCCACTCATACGATAACYACTCTAACATTCAATGTTACGGTATGTCGTACTGTATACAGCTGTAGGTCAGTAAAGTACAGTACGTTTCCCACTCATACGATAACCATTCTTATGGGAAGCCATTTCAATGTTACGGTATTTAAACTCAATGTTATTCATTAGAGGGTTTGAAACACAGTAGAAAGTTCACAAAATAATAACCTTAACAAAACTAAAAGCGATCACGGTTCGAGTGTCCTAAYTGTAATTAATGTCCCATGTATAGATTTAAAAATAATTACCGAAAACTGATTCTTGGGTGTAAAGGTAGGTAGTAATGTGGGCCCATATCAACAGAACACTCTGCTGTACTGATGAGCACTGGTTCGCCTAGTTTGGTCAAGACTGTGAGTGAGCCACAACGAGTAATCGCCACCAGGAACAGACTGTCTCTTGTCCAGGCCATGTCTGCTATCCACCATAATCTACAACAGTTTTTATTTAAATTGCACTCAGTAAATGATGGTGAAGATTGATTAGGAGAGCCCTCCTAGACCATCAGAACATTCTTTATAAACCAACCACACCCTATTTCTATTGTTTGACRTAGGGTTTGAATTTTGATGGAAAGCCTAGATTTAACCTTGATTTAAAGTTGTAGGCGGTATTGATATTAAACGGGGAAAAGCAGGGCTGAATTCAAAACCCAGGACAGGTTTTCCATCGGAATTCAAACATTAAAAATAGGGCTTGATTGGGCTATTAAACCAGTTAAAAAGCACATGCTCAGGTTGGCATTGAAATTCAATGCAAACCCTTGCCCCAGCATTTTAACCTTTACAGTATGTAGCAAATAAGTCATACTAACAATATACTTCATAAAGGCCCTCGCCACCCCAAAATACAGTGTAATTTCCATAATGTGGCATATTTTTATTCATGCATACTTACTTCCCATTGGCTGGCACATTGTCATTTCTCACCCTACCACACCCTCTTAGATCTGTAACRATTGCTGCTGATGAGCTTGCAGTAGAATAGAACATCATTCTGGAGTCTGTAGGCACCTTTTGGTTCATAGCTATGGCTAGCACTTGACCATCCTTAGAAAAACAGRCAACATAAGCCTTACTGTACTTGACTTCTCTTTTTGCTGGGGTCAGGTTATCAAGGGGATGTACAAAGGTGTGCCACTTGGCAGTAAAACTAAGAGAGACACCTGCAAATAAGAGCACAGAACTTATAATTGTTTTATTCCATCTACATGGAGGTATATTACATGTATATGTTTAGAGATATTATCATAGATAGTATCGTAGAATAGGTCACCATTTGCTTTTACTGGTCACATGACYCCAACCCMTCTTAAACAAAATAGTTGACGTGTCAAGATGAACCCATGAAATGTAAAGAGCATGACTATTGTTGATACTAGCTCTGTCTAAGGAGGATTGTTTTTATAATCATGTGGTGATTGCCTCGAGTTGTGAATGGAGGTTGTTTCAGGGTTCAATCTGTGAGTTAGCCATGCCCTGACTTAGATCAGCTCAGAGGTTGTTTCAGGGTTTGATCTGTGAGTTAGTCGTGCCCTGACTTAGATCAGCCCAGAGGTTGTTTCAGGGTTTGATCTGTGAGTTAGCCATGCCCTGACTTTGATAAGCCCAGAGGTTGTTTCAGGGTTCGATCTGTGAGTTAGCCAAGGCCCTGACTTTCATCAGCCCAGGGGTTGTTCAGGGTTCGATCTGTGAGTTAGCCAAGGCCCTGACTTAGATCAGCCCAGAGGTTGTTTCAGGGTTTGATCTGTGAGTTAGCCATGCCCTGACTTAGATCAGCCCAGGGTTTGTATCAGGATACTATGGAATAAATAACATTTGAAGGTTTTRAATGACTGGGGTATGTTAACTTTTCTAGACTTACCATCATGACTTAAGTTTGAGACTCCTTCACTTCCTTGTGCACCAGCTTCCATTCCAAAATTTCCATTAGTCTGGGGCCATYGCAATTGTATTGTTGAGATGTGCATTTTGTTGCCTTTGTTAAATATCCAAGATACCATGGCACATTGGCCTAAAACCTTTAAAAAATGAGCATTAAAGAAATGAGTAATACATTTAAGACATGGCTCCAATAGAGGAATAATTTATGTAGCTAATTAATGTGTGTAGCCTGACTGAAATTACACTTAGATCAGGCTTTCAAGTCAGTCTTAGTTCAGAGCTGCACCCACTTTTCTCGCTAACTATAATTTATATTTCAAAATAAAAGAAATGCTGCACATGCACAAGAAAAGAAAACTGGGAAAAGTTATTATTACAATTTTTACACACACATCTATAAAAGTGGTCTAACTCTGCACTAAGGTGGTCTGTAAATCTCTGCAARATTTGAATAGAACATTTGCATGATGGCGTCACTGACCTCTACTACCAGACTCCCTTGCACACTTTCTTTYGTTCAGTTAATTAGCACCAATTGTCTTACTATTCTCATGAGGGAATATAAATTTGAATAAGAAAGAAAATTTGCAAAGCATTATAGTAGTGGGAGTCAAATGACGCCATCATGCAAACATCCTATTCCTTGTTATAGACCTCATTCAAGCTGCATGATAATTTTTTTTAAAATCAGTTTTGTTTAAGTGTCTAGTCGTTCTAGCGCTGTCGCACAAATTGGGGACGCTTTTCGCWCACACGCACTACCACTACATTTACAATGTTCTCATACACAACACTCAGCTCAATGTAATATACAATTGGCAATATTGTGAACATGTACATGATCCTTAATAGGATTGATATCACTCACTTGATCCTCATAGAATATTGCATTAACTGCACTTTCTTTGTCTTGGTCTAATGGTAGGATGTATTCCCCACTCTGGATCTGTACCCATGTGCCAGTGAATGGCTCACCTACAAAAAATAGACTCTGTAAGAAAATGACCCTGAGATACCAAGTTGACTAGGGGTTGGGGTGTGGTGGGTTAGTGAATCTGTATGGGTCCTAGTGCCAGTGAATG